GTGTTTGGAAGTCGACTCGGCTGGGCTGCCGTGGGGTGGGTGGTGCTGGTGGCTGCTGCTGGAGGTCGGGTGGGAGTGGTATTTTGGCTGAAGGGGGCTCGAAATTGTTGGATTGCCCCCCCCCCCCCCCGTGGCGGCTCTGAGCGGCGCGGCTGCGCGGGGAGGGGCGGGTCGAGGTGGTCGCGGTGTTGTGGGGGCTGTGTGGTGGCAAGGAGTAGGTGGAGGTTTGGGTGTTTTGGCTGTGTCGTGGGTGCTATGAGTGGGTGAGGTAGAGGCCGTTGCTCGATGCGGCAATATGTTGTGGGGTCTGTCGGGAAAGCTGGGCTTGGCGGCTGGTAGGCGGTTGTGGTGTTGGAGTGGGGAGTCGAGGTATGTGTCGTCAATGTTTGGGATGTTGCGTGGGTTGATGCCGTTGCCGAAGGCCACTAGGGGGCTCTCGGGGTCGTTGCTGGCCATGGGGTGTCGCCAGAGTCCAAGCGTCTCGTCGTCGTGGTGCTGAGCTTGGTGCAGCTCCTCGGCGAGGGGCAGTCGTTGCTGCTGCTGCTGCTGCGTCAGTCTTTGCTGCGTTTGGCGTAGGATGACCTCCTCGTCGGGGATCTTGAGCTGTCCTCCTGGAGAGGAGGGAGGTGGCGACTGAAAGCCAAAATGGCTGGGCGCCGGGGGACTGCCATAGTGCGCGGGTCGGTCGGTTCGCGGGGAGCTCGAAGTCTTCGCCCTTGATGGCCGCGTCTTGGGAGTCGCGCTCGCCTCGTGGCGGTGGGAACCTTGTGGGCGAGCGGTGCAAGGGCTGGCCCTGGGGAGTCGCCAGGGTCCAGCCGAAGCTGTGTCGCGTTGCTGCTTGTGGCTCTGGACGTCGTCCGGTCGCGTCGCAGCTCCTGCTGGGCCAGGGGGCGGCTCTTCTTGTTTGTTTCGCCAAGAAACACCGCTTGTGCCCCCCCTGGCCTGCTGCTGTTGGCTGTCGATGATGATGTCGTCTGAAGGTGCGGCGGCTTCTGCTGGGCCAGGGGGCGGCTCTTCTTGTTTATTTCGCCCAGGAACGCCGCTTGTGCCCCCCCATGGCCTGCCGCTGAAGACGGTCTGTGCTGGCTGGGGTTTGACTCCCCAGTCCAGCGCTGATCGAAGAGTTGTCTCGGCGGCTGCCCGAGTAGATTGCCCACTCCTGAGTCGGGCTGTCAGGCCTGTAGGTCCTGCCTGTCGCTGTGACGCTGGGGCAGAAGCGCACCTTGTTGAGTTGCTCGACGTCTTGCTTGACGCGGGTTGCGCGTGGGGGCGGTCGGTGGGGAGTGATGCCCCTGGCGAACCTTACCGTAGTAGGCAGCGCGCTTGGAGGTGTCGTCGACGTCGGAACCGGCCGTGACTTAAGCCTCTGGTAGTTCGCCGTGTGCGATATGCCGTGGTGTGCTGAAGACGATAGGGGGTTTCACCATGCCTGGTGCCTGGCGTCTACGTGGCGATGCTGAGCCACTGCGCCTTCTCGCCTCCCCCATGCGAGATGCAGAGGCCGAGGGGGTGGTCCTCGGCCCGCTAGCTGGTGGCAGCAGCTGCGTGGAGTGGATTGCCCACTGGCGGCATGGTGCAGGGTTGGGTTAAGGGTTGGGCAGGTGCGGCGCGCTGTCCCCGAAGCATGCGCCACGGTATGGGAAGGAAGGGGGGCGGTGGCGAGGTCGGTGCGTCGCGGCAGCGCTGCGCGAGTCGACTTCGCTGGGCACGTGGAATTCGGGATCTTCTGGTGTCTGGCATGGCCTTTCGTCCTGGGCCAGTCGCCCCCCAGGAAGTTGTGGCCTTGTTAGTTTTTTTTGAGCTGGAATCCGAGTTGGCCCCGCTGCCGTCTATGAGGGCTGGGGCGCGGTCTCCGAGATCTGCGAATCCATCTCCAGTGTCGCATATGCGGACCTTCTTGGGTTGCTTCGTTCTAGTAGTGGAGCCTCCTTTCCTTAGTACTGTCTGAGGGGGTGGGCCTGGTCTTGCCCTGTCAGGTGCCCCTGGGTGGAACATCGGAAGGGGGCTGGATTGGAACCATTGGGGCTGTGGGTGAGATGTCGGAGAGAGGTATCCTTTTGGGTGTAGATGCGGGCTCAGCGTCGTCTCCTGATGCGATGTCGATCAGGATCGTAGCAGTGGGTTTGCTGGTTCTGGTGGCGCGATCGCTGGTGCGGACGTTGGGCGGCGGGGCAGAGCTAGGCCGGTCGAAGTCAGGGGGATTGGGGGGTGGGCCCTGTGGAGTTGGTTGCTCGGTAGGGATCGGCGTGCGAGGGGATGTTGGTGGAAGCGGCGTCGGAACTGAGAAGGGGTAGTTGTCTTCGGCAACGGGAGTCGGGTCAAGGTCGTCGGCGTCGCTTGGGGTGGCGGCCCGTGTGCCCGCGTCGTCGTTCCTGTCTTCGTCCTTGTTGTCTTTGTCTTCTGCTGGAGTCGTCGGCGGAGACCTCGGACGCGCTGCGGTAGCTGCCGTCCCAGGTTTTGGCCGCCCCCATGCGTCGGAGTCTGTCGTGCCGTGGTGGGGGGCGCTGCTGTCGCTGCCTCTCATCATGGGGTAGGACGGGGACCCGCGTGCCTCGCTGTCGGCGGTGCTAGTAGAGATGAGATGAAGAGCGGCTTCAACTTCACGTTCTGCATGCACTCGTTCTTGGTCCGCCATGGCCTGTCTCTTCTCTTCCTCGCCATCTTGCCCCCTCAACTGTCTGTCGATTTCGTGAAGAATGTCAACGTCCAGGTCCGTATCCCAGTGGTGGGCACTCTGGAGTTCGCTGTGCAATTCTTCTCGTTGTTTGATTCGTCGTGTCCTGCTTGCCTCGATCTCGTGCTGGTTTGCTTCTCTCGCCACTTTCTCGGCGTTGGAGATGGCTTCAGACACTCGTATCATGTTGATCGCCTGGTCGTGCTGATGCTGCTCGTGAATGGCGTAGTGATGCTGAGCTTGTAGCTGACCGCATTATTCCAGTAGCGCTTCTTTGGCGTGCTGCATCTTGGTGTACCCGTTGCTCGCCATCTCGTTGGCTGCCCTCGTGGCCTCAGCATTCTCGATTTGCAGCAGCTGGGCCTGTTCCTTGCACATCTTGCTGCGCTCGCCAATCAAATGCTGCTCGTTGGTCTTTAGCTCACCCCTGATATGTTTTTCTCTTGCTCCTTGTGCGAGACGATGTGCCTGGGCGAGCTGCGCTTGATGAGCGAGTTGTTGCTGCTGAACTGCGAACGCTTTTTCTCTCGCCTCGTGAACCAGTCGAGCCTGCTGCGCAAAACGAGCTTCCTCGGCGATCTGTGCTTCTTGTGCTGCTTGCGCTTGTTGTGCCAGCCGGCTCTTTTCATGCTGTAGATATTAGCGAGCCTGGAGCTGGGCTTCAGCGAGATCTTGTCGAAGTCTCGGTTGGGTTTCTGACGCCAGCACCTCATAATATTTCTTCATTCCGTTCTTCATGGCCTTCATCCTGTCGGTCAACACCTTCATCTCGTCGCATTGCTCGGCCTGTCGTCGCTGCTGCTGTTCCTGTTCTGCACGCTCGTAGTGGAGGAAGGCGAGGTGGTGCTGGTGAAGACCCTGGTGCCGCTGCTGGTCGTCGAGTCGCTTCGTCAGCTCCTCAACCTGTCTCCTCACGTCGACTTCGCCATTCTCGTCGCTCATGTTGCTTTTGGCGGCCCGAGTACGTGGTGCTTGCTGCTGCTGTCGCTTTGTGGGGTGAGGGGTTCTGCCACGGGTGCCTCTGTTGTCGTTCTCGCTGTCGTTGTCGCCGTCGCAGCTTGAGTCTTCGTCCTGAAGCTGGAAGTCCCTGAGCCTCTTCGTCTCCTGGACGAGGGCTTTGAGGGCCGTGACGCTCTCGCTGGTCTCCTTTTCCTCTTTGCTGAGCTCACGGGTGCTGTCCTGTATCTTGTGCCTTCTATTGTGCAGATCCACGACCTGGTGTCTGTAGGTCCCGATTCTCTCATTGGGCTCGATGATCAGCTGGACCATGGTCTTCGTGATTGCGACTTCATGGCTTAGCTTGGACGTGTCAACTTGGGCTTGCCTGGCACCATTGATCTGCTCCGCGAGACGTCCTAGCATCGCAATCTGGGTGGCGTACCATATGCGTCGGATATATCGCTCTTGGGGCGGGTATGAAAAGCTTTGATGTTCTTTGGCAACCGAAAGGAAGGCAGGTATGATCTGGTCGACGACCTCGGCCTGCTTTTTTGTCAACTTCGGCTCCTGGTAGTCCCTACCGTTGCCCTTGTAGCGTGTGCCGTTTCTTTTCTTCCTTGGCGTCGCCCTTGACGTTGACGTTCGTCTGGCGCTCCAAGGGTATGGTCTCTCACCGGCGGCAGGACCTGGGCCGCCAGCAGTTGAGGACCCTGCTCCTGTCCTCCTTTCCGCTGTGCCCCTTTGGTCCTGCCATCCTGCCCAGCGGCCGCTTGCACTTCCGCTCGCCATCTTGCTGTTGTCGTGCTGCAGGTGCTGCTGGCTGCGCTGGTGCTGCTGCGCGGAGTGGTGGTCGTTGGGGCAGTTGGCCGCCTCCGCGACCCTGAGGAGAGTCCGCGCTGATGCGCGGCGGGCGCGCTCCCGCCTGTGCCAGGCTGGCTCCTGGGGCGTTGGGCCCCTCCCAGGCGCGCCAGCGGCGCGCAGCAGCGGGGCAGCCGTGGGCGGGGCGCGGCTGCGGCGGCGGCGGATGGCCGACCAGCCGCGGCGCGCGAGCCCGGCTCCGCTAGCGGCCGATCGGATCGGGCGCGAGCCGATCGGTCCCACGGGCGCGCCGATCGACCCCGAGCGGAGGATCGGTCGCGGCCCGGACCGCCAGAGGCCAGATGGGCTTCCTCCTCCTCCTCCTCCTCCTCCTCCTCCTCCTCCTGCTCCTCCTCCTCCTCCTCCTCCTCCTCCTCCTCCTCCTCCTCCTCCCCTCCTCGTCCTCCTCGTTCTCGTCCTCGTCCTCGTCCTCGTCCTCGCCCTCGTCCTCGCCCTCGTCCTCGTCGTCCTCGTCATGCTCGTCGTCCTCGTCGTCGTCGTCGTCCTCCTCCTCCTCCTCCTCCTCCTCCTCCGTCTCGCCACTCAGTCGCGTGCCCGCCAGCCTCACTGACCCAGGCACCTCATCGCCTCCTCGTGCACCGCCTGCGCAACCAGCGCGGAGTCCTCTGCAGTCCTGGGGTGGGGTCCCAGGGCGCGGAAGAAGAGGAGACGGGAGGGGCAGTAGACGAGGGGAGCGGAGTGGAGGAGGGAGGGGAGGAGGGGAATGGACGTGAAGAGGAGGGGAGGGGAGGAGGGGAATAGACGTGAAGGGGTAGGGGGGTGGGGGCGAGATGAGGATAATGGACAAGAAGGGGGGGCGGAAAGGAGGAGGGAAATGGGCATGAAGGGAGGCGGGATGGGAGGAACGGGGAGGGAGGGGGGCGGGGAGGGCACGGGGCAGGAGGAGGAGAGGGGGGGTAGAGCACTCTTGCTCGTCGCCCCGTGGAACGAGTGCGCTCCTGCAGGACAGGGGACGGACAGAGCTAACGGATGAAATCAGACGGCATGCGACAATACAGAACTAGCAACACCTCCTGTCGACGAAGGCGGGGAAGAGATGGGAAGAGGGGACGAGGAGGAGATGAGGAGAGGAGAGGCGGAGCAACAATGATTATAGGATGGCGTGGGTACGCGACGAAAGGACAAAGCGAAAGGACGGGGAGGACTAACAATTCAGGCACGAAGGAATATACATACACACGTATATTCATACAAAAGAAAGAGAAAGATAACGAGACAGCGAGAGAGAAAGAGAGAAAGAGAGAGAGATACTGAAAAGAGAGAGAGAGAGAGAGAGAAAGAGAAACAAAGAGAGAGAGAGAGAGAAAGAGAAAGAGAAAGAGAGAGAGAGAGAGAGAAAGGACACGAACACCAAGGAGGGAGAACGGGAACGAGGAAAGGACGGGAGTGAAGGACAAGGAGGAGACCGCGATCCACAACGCCAGAGGCCAGCCTACGCATGAGGGGAACAAGACTCGAGACGCTTCCTCGGTGAGAACCGGGCCTAGTACGGACCATCGGCGTAAAGCTGCTGGCTCGCAACGCGATGCCGAGAGTTGCCATCTCCATGCCCTCTCCCGCCCCGTCCCTCCCCACTTCCCCTCCCCCTCACCCTCGCCCCTTCTCCACTCCCCTCACCTGCCCCGTCCCTCCCTGCTCCCCCTCCCCCTCGCCCCTGCCCCTCTTCTCCACTCCCCTCTCCTGCCCCGTCCCTCGCCCCCCTCCTCGCCCCTCTCTTCCCCTCCCTCCGCCCGCCTCTTCCCCTCGCCCTCGCCCCTGGCTCTGGCCCCGCCATCCCCTTCGGGAAAAGCGGCCTGGGCGCCGAGGGGCCGAAGGCTTCGCCGGAGGCGGCGCGCGAGGGGGGCGGGAAGGCGAAGGGGGAGGGGGCAGGATGGGCAGCGGCTGCGGCGGCAGCAGCAGCAGAGTGACACGCGTCCAGCGGACCTGCAGGCTCGTTCCAAAACCCCTCGCGGTCGGATCGGGCGCCCGCCGACGCCCTCCCCCCCTTCTCGATGGTCCTCAGAGCGTGTGTGGGCACCAGTGTGCGCTTGTCCACCGAGGCCTTTCGATGCGACCTAGGGCGGTGCAGTGAGGGGGCGACACAGGCTGCCTGCGATCGGTGAAGCTGGGCGAGGGCAGCACACACACGCACACACACACAGATTGGGCCACCACACGCCCTGAAGATCATCGGCCTTCCCTCGCGCCCCGCGAGCCTGAACCAGAGGCAGAGCAGCTCGCTCTCCCCCTCCGCGTCGAAGGTGAGCACCTGCGGCCAGTGGGGAGAGCCAGGATCGGCAGGGAAGATACACCAAACTCGCGATAGGCTCAACGGGTACCCAAGCCCATCTTTACGGATGCAACGGTCATCGGCAAAATACTGGAGACAGAGGGGCAGCGGATCGGCAGCAATGGGAAGATCGGCAGGAGGAGGAGGAGGAGGAGGAGGAGGAGGAGGAGGAGGAGGAGGAGGAGGGCGGGAGGGGAGGGAGCAGGAGGAGGAGGAGGCAGGGGATCGGCAGTAATGGGAAGATCGGCAGGATACTGATAATGATAATGTCAGTTCGCTAAGTGAAATAAGCGGCTTTACCCAAGGGGGGGGGATCGGAGGGGGCCTCGGTTGGGACCGTCCTCTTCGCGTTGCCCATGGCCTTCGCCCACTGACCTCGCTCGATCCGTTTCATACTCCGCCGCCGTGGGGTAGCCTTTTAATCACAACCTTTACGGAACTTGAGGTTCTGCTGGCTTGCGAAAGCACCACACATCGCACAAAGCCAAAGACCCAACTTCGCACTAAGTTTCTTGCTATGAGTTTCGTGCACCCAATCCCCAGTCACGTGAAGTTCCCCTCCAGGAGGAACTGTGAACTATAAGCAATTGTTCGTAACGCGTTGTGGGTGCCGCTTTCGGTGGAGCTCCCTATGGGGCCACGAAACGCTGCCCTGGGCGGGGGAACCGCATGCGAACTGCGCCACTGGGGTGGGCCTTCGGTGGAGCTCCCTATGGGGCTACGAAGCGCTGCCCTGGGC